TGTCTCTGCCAAGGGTTAAACTGTGTGAGAAGAAATTCTCACATCAGACAAAAATGTAAATGTATTGCTTTCTCTTAATCACTAATACATTGCTTTACAAATTATCAGTCTGACAAATGATTTTTAATGTTTTTTACATGCATTAATAACGCACGTAATAAAGAACAATTGTCAATGAATGTCAATTGTTCTACTTTATGTAACTTACTTTGAGTAAATACGTTGGTATGAATAGATATTTTTATTTCCTTCGTTACCATTTCCAATGTTTCAGGGGCTACACTCAATCCATATTCGTCTGATTTTGGGATAAATGTGTAAATTGAAAATGTACAATTAACGTCCTTCCAATGCATTATGTGATCGTTATTCTGTATTTATTTATTCCATATTATCGCTTCACATGCAACCGGTGAAAATATTTCTTGAATATTAGTTTAAAACGTTATGCAAAATTAATATTGATCATTCCTTTTAAGGGAATTTATTCTGTTAAAAAGAATCTGTAATGTAAATTTCTAATATGGAAAGTCAGTTGCGTGCCTCGATAAGCCGAACTGGTTTCTTTCGCAATACACTCATCTATCAAAATAAGGAACTTGTTTCTAAATAATTTATTACTTACAGCAATTGCAATCGAAAAGCTTTCACATTACATACCAAATAGAGGGTGATATGCCGCTAAACAAAAACAACCAACATTACATACCAAGTTCAAAAGTGTTTCTTCGTTAACTCCTTAATGAATTCTTTATTCTTGTCTGTTATACAATTGTTCAAATATCCACCCAAAATTGAATTTAAAAATATAAGTCAGCTGATATACTTTATTAATTAATTACTGCAATTTCAAGATTTTACTTTTCCATCGATCACTTTATCTAACATCATACACTTAATATTTTAAGCCCTGCAATGAAATTTAAATTGTCGTATTTTATCCCAATGTCATTAAACAGTGAATGTTGAAGCATTATGTATTTAGCATTATATTCTGAGCGCAGTGCAGTTTTCTTGTCTAGGGAAATATATATAAAATATATAGACAGAGTTTAAGGCTTTTACAAGAAAGAACTCCTGTATTTTCATATTAGCCATTTACAAATATGCTTGATAAAAAAGTAGCTTCATTATTTTTATTTTCAGAAACATCCCCCAAAATTAAGTTTAGGAATAGGATTTCATTTTATTATTGTTATTAACTTTTCTGCCAGGCTCTGGCTAAAACAAAATATAGAATAACAGTTCTTTAATCTTGTATGCAATTTATGACAACAAAATCATAATTTTCTGTCGTAATTAAAACAAAACCTAGCCTAGTAGACTAGCGATCCATTTATATTCTAACATTTTTATTAGAAAAAGATAAAGAATATTAGACATTGCATACAGCAAATTTTGTTGGTTACCTTGAGACATTAATATAGCTTCGGTTATTAATGTAAGCCAATAGACCTAAATGGTTTTAGAATGTTTAAGATATGTTGCCTTATGTGTGAATGCATTATTTCATTCGTAGTATGGAAATAAATAGTGTCGAAAGTCATTGTTTTTAGGTATTTTCCCTTACGCGATTACATTGAAACAAGTTAAACTGGAATATATTGCAAATTTGTTTGTTGTAAAATTGATTCTTATATGTTAAAATATATTTTACAAACTATATTTAATATATTTTCAATTTTTATTTGCCTGTATTACATTTTTGGTAATATATTCGAGTCAGCTAATTTACTTTATTGAATAATTATTGTAATTTCAGAAGTATACTACTCCATCGATCAATTTATCTAACAACTTAAACTTTATATTTTACGCCTTGCAATGAAAATTAAATACACTTATTTTTATTCCAATTCCACTAATCGGTGAATAAAGTATTATGAATTTGGGTTATAGTTTGAGTGCCAATATTTTCTTCAGTTATCTGGGAAGATAATTACGTAATAGGCCTAGTTTAAGATTTATGAAAGAAATAATTAATTATTCCATATTGTCCCTTTCGAGAAAAGCTTAGTAAAAATAGCAATAACGCGTGCCACTATAAATATTCTCACATGCATATACTTACATGTACGACTGTCTATTTTAGAAATATTATAAAGATACATATTATTATTTACGAAACGGCATCAAATCTGGCTACGGCTCATCAGATATGGCTATAAATTTGGTTGAGCTTGAACTTAAGTAGTCGTAATATTCGATCCTAACCTCCAGAATATCTCTACGAGGTACATGCCACAATTCTAAGAAGCATAATTATATAAGCATTTAATTCGAAGCATATATTATTAAACATATTGGCATGAAATCTGCAGAAATGCTTTTCTTTCCGTTTGGCGTCGTAAGGATTCACGTGTAAATCGGATTCGTGCAGATTGTCTCTTCAACACTGTATTGTCTCAGAAGTGATGTTGGGTAAAGTTTCACTTAGAAGGACTTGTCCATGTCAACTTGTATAAATCTGTACATCGACATTGAATCTTGAACAATTTGCATGGTAGACAGATCAAACAGAATGCAAGCTGTTTTGAAAATTGTTACAGTTCATTGATAACATTCTCCTGACCATGTCGTCGTCATGGAACTTATATAACGAGTAAAAACGCGTGAAATGCCTGTATATGCGACGAGCAATTATCATTGTACACAGGTTTATTCGAATGATTGGATTTATCTTAATTATCATAGTCTCTTTTCGACCGATGCGACTTTCTATCTTCGGTAGATGAATATGGAAGTTGGATTTTATTTAACTTTGCCTGTAATTTTAATAACAAACTACTTTGACATATGTTGTTTTAAATGCCACGAAGCAGAGACTGCAGCCCAATGAGAAAATGAAGTGGCTTGGATGGCAACTCTTAGGAAACAGTGCAAACGAAAGGTTTAAATTCGATTCAACATAAATACGAAGCCTTATTTTCTCTTAGAAATATTTAGATTTAGTAAATTTTATTCAGCGTTTCTGCTTTTATTGAAGCAGTAACTGATACAAAAGTAGGGAAAATGGCCAAGCGCTAACTAATCCTTGGTGATATGCGCAACAGACCAGTTGCTATTATCTTATTCTTGGAAGCAATTATTAGGTGCAGACAAGTTTTACTTTCTTGCAGCATGCATAACCGTGATTGGCGAAGAATTTCGGTTGCACGTCTTATATCAAAAATGAATTAACAAATATATAATGATAACGACAGCAGACGTGATATCTGACTCCATATAATCACGGGGTATTGGCGCGATAGAGTCAAATAGACCGACTTCTTGGCTCGTTTCCAAACCCAATCATGTAGCTGAGGAGTGACTATAACGGGAAAGCGTGGCAAGTTGCCCGCTTGTTGTCCAGAAACGTAAATAGTAAAGAATAGGTCTTTTTGCTCGACATGACTAACGTCATATCCCTTTCTTTCCTTCGAGACCTTTATGCTGAATTAAATATACACATGCATAATCTTATTCAGAAGAGAGTGCATACTCATTTACTAACTTCAAGAGATAAAATATGAGAAAAATCTATTGTGTATCTCTGTGTGTGGGATTATGAAAGAAAGACATCGTGAGAAAGGCGTATAAACACCCATTATGTAGAATATATTTATTGATAAGAAAGCACAATAATTTGAACAGCTGTTCTCAGCAATCAAGGCGGGTGACTTCTAAATGAAAGAAATTGATCAATTCTACCGCGGCTTCTGTCCAGGGAGGAAAAGAACAAAATTGCTAAGAATCCATTCATTCTTTTTTATTCCTTTTTGAACACTGATAATTCTCTTTTACTGGCAATCTGTCTTTCTTTCGTCTTTTTCTTTCTTTTGTCTCTCTCTTTCTTTCTTTTGTCTCTTTCGTTCTTTCTTTCTTTTGTCTCTTTCGTTCGTTCTTTCTTTTGTCTCTTTCGTTCTTTCTTTCTTTTGTCTCTTTCGTTCGTTCTTTCTTTCTTTTGTCTCTTTCGTTCGTTCTTTCTTTCTTTTGTCTCTTTCGTTCGTTCTTTCTTTTGTCACTTTCGTTCTTTCTTTCTTTTGTCACTTTCGTTCGTTCTTTCTTTTGTCACTTTCGTTCTTTCTTTCTTTTGTCTCTTTCGTTCTTTCTTTCTTTTGTCTCTTTCGTTCTTTCTTTCTTTCTTTCTTTTGTCTCTTTCGTTCTTTCTTTCTTTCTTTTGTCTCTTTCGTTCTTTCTTTCTTTTGTCTCGTTCGTTCTTTCTTTCTTTCTTTTTTCTCTCTTTCGTTTCTTTCTTTTTTTTTTTCGTCTCGTTCGTTTCTTTCTTTCTTTCTTTCTTTCTTTCGTTCTTCGTCTTTCTTTCTTTCTTTTTCTTTCTTTCGTTCTTTCGTTCTTTCTTTCTTTTCTTTCGTCTCGTTCGTTCTTTCTTTCTTTCGTCTCGTTCGTTCTTTCTTTCTTTCTTTCTTTCGTCTCGTTCTTTCTTTCTTTCTTTCTTTCTTTCGTCTCGTTCGTTCTTTCTTTCTTTCTTTCGTCTCGTTCGTTCTTTCTTTCTTTCTTTCGTCTCGTTCGTTCTTTCTTTCTTTCTTTTGTCTCGTTCGTTCGTTCTTTCTTTCTTTCTTTCGTCTCGTTCGTTCTTCTTTCTTTCTTTCTTTTTGTCTCGTTCGTTCATTCTTTCTTTTTTTCTTTTTGTCTCGTTCGTTCGTTCTTTTTCTTTCTTTCTTTTGTCTCGTTCGTTCTTTCTTTCTTTCTTTTGTCTCGTTCGTTCTTTCTTTCTTTCTTTTGTCTCGTTCGTTCTTTCTTTCTTTCTTTTGTCTCGTTCGTTCTTTCTTTCTTTCTTTTGTCTCGCTCGTTCTCTCTCTCTCTCTTTCTTTTCGTCTCTCTCTTTCTTTTCGTCTCTCTCTCTCTTTCTTTTCGTCTCTCTCTCTCTCTTTCTTTTCTCTCTCTTTTCTTCTCTCTCTCTTTTCTTTTCTTCTCTCTCTCTTTTCTTTTCTTCTCTCTTTCGTCTTTCTCTCTCTTTCTTTCGTCATCTTCCCTTTGCCTCGCCTCTCTCACTCTCTGCTTACGTTCACATCACATTGAAACACCGGTTCCTGTACGATCACCGAAGTTAAGCAACATCGAACCTGGTCAGTACGGGTGACCGTTTGGGAATACCAGGTGGTGCAATTTTGGATTTTCTGGTGTCGTAGTGGATAATGATTCTGAATAGTTAATCGGAGTTCTAATTCCGGTTATGTTCATTTACGCACAACTGCCCTTGGGGAAGGTATGAATCCACCTCTTTTTTCCCGAGCTACAGGTTAATTAGTAAGACACATATCACTAAGATCATTATTATCTCCAAAACAATGAAAAATCAAATAAAATTGTGCACAAAATATTGAGATTTTAGCATTAAAAATAATAGAGATTGATATGCCGCGAAACAAAAACAACGAACAGAAGTCTTTGATTTTGTGTCTCCATCCCGCCTCTCTTTTTCTCCACTTCTCTCTCTCTCTCTCTCTGACAGTGGCTAATTCTCCTTTTGTAGTCTCATTCACTCTCTCTCTCTCTCTCTCTCTCAACCTCCCCAGTTGGCTCTACCTCGCACCCACTGCGATTCTCTCTCTCTTTCTTTGTCACACATCCAACTCGGCTGTCTCTTTCTCCCCCTACCTCCCTTTATCCACTGTCTGTCTCTCTCTCTCTCTCTCTCTCTCTCTCTCTTGTCTGCCTCTCTCTCTCTCTCACTTTCTCGTACCCACCCCTATTTTCTCTCTATATATTACACCCACTGTTTTCCTCTTTTTCTCTCTTTTTCCTCTTTGTCTATTAATCTTTTTCTTATTTTTCTTCAATTTCTTTTATTTTTATTAATGTATCGATTTTATTTTTACATTTTATCTTTTTTTTTTCTTTTTTGTGGTTTCATTGATTTCTTTCGTTCATATATTTCCCTCGTTTTTATTCTTTTTTTTCCTTTATTTCTCTTCACTTTTACTTAATATTCTGCAACATTCCAGCCTTTCGTTCATTATGGAGCTTCTTTGGAATTTGTTTTTATTAATATATTCATTTATATTCTTTTCATTCTGTTTGATTACTTCTTTATGGCGGCATCTCTCTCTACCTATCTATATATCTGGCACTTTTTTCACCACATATCTATAGCTCTCCACCTTTCCATATCTCTATATATTTCTGTTCCCTTTGAATTTTCATTCATAAATTTGCAACATTAATCCTTTTCAGTACCTGGCTGTTCCAAAGGAATATCAAAACGAAACCTACCGATAGGATACAATAATATCCCTCATTAAAATAAATCCACCTCAGAAATCGCTCTACAAGGCAAGGTACTTCAAAGCTGTAATTATATCTGCAGGTCACGTCTTCGGAAATGACCACTGATATCGATATATATTGGAGTTACTCAAATAGCCTGACTTTTGCTCTTAAGACTGGCGACTGTTATTAGCTTAAGATTAAATTATTTTATAGATATGAATATATTTATATTATACGTGTTTTTGCATATGGTTCGAATCTCCCTGTGACCTATCACTTCAGGATATGGGTGCTAATGGCTGTCCACTATTTCCTATTTGTTGTAGCTATAAGCAATGTGTATAGTTTTACTATTCATCTCAATCTCTCTACTGCCATTCATATATATTTTTAGCCCATTTCACCCTAAGCAAGACGATGACGCAAGGGGTTATTATTGCAAGAGGAAGAGAATATTTCGTGAGAAAAAAGACAATAAAAGAAAAGGTTGCAGAAAGGGAGTAGATTGTGGTTGGTGATGTCCTGTACTTTTTTGAAGATAGTATGTAGCAGGGAATCATGAAACTGGAAGAGAGTTTCTCAGGAGTGAAGGGCGAGAAGAAATTACGTTTGTAAATTGTTATTAAAAAATACGAGACCTAGTTGACAATCAAGGAGTACGTTTAAATTCATGCGACAGATGTACAAATGAGGTAAGCAATACATATTTTGAATAATACAAAAATGTGGCACAAGACCAAAATCGGGTGTATGGGAGAGTTGGTCTTCAATCTGATCCAAACATAGCATAGTATTCATTACACCAAGACAAACCATTCTTACTTAACATTCTTACTACAGCAACCATAATACACCAATGTCCCTATGTAGTCCTAATTAGTTCCCATATGTACAGTTTGTCTGTGGTGGTTTAGGGGATAAAAATAACAATTTACCAAAGAGGAAAGCAAAATTAATTTTGAATAAAAATAAAATGTAGCACAAGCCTAAAAGAGGGGTTTACAAGAATGCTGGTCTTCAATCTCTCTTATAATAAATTTAGCAATCCACGAGTACTGACCCAAAAATACCATAGTATTCCTTACACCAAAACAACACATTCTTATTTAACATTCATACTACAGCCACCATAATACCCCAAAGTCTTTATGTAGTCTTAAATAGTAAAATTTTCGGGATGGGGGGTACAAAAAACATTTACCACAGAGGAAAGCTCATTAGAACAACTGCGATGAAACTATTTATACAAAAGGCAGAAGGAAGCCAAGTCATGACTCTGGGAAAGTGACTGAAATCGAGATGTCCGTTTAGTACTGATAACATAGGTTATATGTAAACGTGATCTTATTTTGTTTGAAATTCCTTAAAATTTCTTAATGGCTCAGAGGCCGCATCTG